GAAGAACGACCACTGGGGTCACTGGGCTTTGTGGGGGGGAGGGGCCTGGGCTCGTGATGGCCAATCCTGCTGCCCCGAGGGCCAGTCCACCTGTGGAGGGAGGGCCAGGGTCTCCAAACATCCCACTCGCCCCTCAGGGTGCGCCAGCCTGGCTGAGATCAGCCAAGCCGTTCCATCAGAACCCTTGAAAGTGGGGCCCAGGTGTGGGCATTTGCACACTGGGTGATCCTGACGTGCAGCGCTGAGAACCCCGGACGGAGCTGTCCCACCGCCGATGTCGCGTCACCTCTCCGTCCTTGCTCCTGGGTCTGCTCAGTCAACCCAATAAAGCAGCTGCTTGTGCCTTAGCGCAAAGCCTGGTCAGTACCAAGCCGTCACTGAGACAGGGTCTGCCCTCCACGTGCTGCCAAAGTAGGCCGGCAAGACTGAGGGCCGGCCCTGGGTCCTGGTAAACGCATCGAGGTGACAAAATGTGGCTTCCAGAGAGGCCTCTTGAGTGAGGACACAGCTGGGTATCGCCTTGCTGGCCAAGAAAACTCAAACCTATTTCATCACTCCAGTGCTTTAGAGGTAACACGGGACCAGGAGGAGCAAAGCGTGAGGGTGGGACGGTGGGAGGCCGGCCCTCACGGGAAGGTCCCAGGTTCACATCCAGAGCCCTCCCTGAACCACCCCCACCCCCGTGCACACCTGTGCCCATAAGGCCTGGCAGAAGCTGGGGGCAGGTTGCCGTGTGGAGACCCTGTGGGGTGCTATCTTTCTCTCTCTCTCACTCATGGAAGAAAGAAACTTTTAACAGAGAGAAACAAAGTGGAGATTAGCAAAACAGGTGAGCACAGGCTTCCGAGAGCTAAGCTCTGAAGGAATGCCTCTCCTGTTTCGTGAGCCCTTTCCATTGAGCCGTGGATGTAGCTGACTGCCCAGCCGGCATCCACTCCCCCTTCTGCTCCCAGCAGAACCCCATTTGCTTCATCTGCCTACCTGGCCTCGCCTGAAGGAGGCAAAGTTGGCACAGAGCCCCTGGGTGCTCTGATGTGCCCAAACCGAATCCCATCCTCCTACCAGCACATGCCCTAGCTTCACTGAGACAAGGACACTGATTTTCTTTTATGCTTTCTTTTGAAGTACAATACACATACAGAAAAACGTAGGTGTCAGGGCCAGCAGATGGTGTAGCAAGTATGTCACTGGACTACCACGTTTGACCACGGTTCAAGTCCTGGACCTGGTGGGTTGAAAATCATGCCAGGTACTTGTGCATCCATGCCCAACATCCTGGGAGGAGAATGAAGGAGAAGGGACAGTAGTGTGGCCATCCCCCCCTCGGGGTGATTTCTCACTTTACCTCTCACTGTTCTTGGCTCTCTCTTTCTCCCCAGTGAGTGCACACACCCTAAGGCAAAAATCTCTTTTAAAAAATGGTGCCATGCATATGGCCGGATAAATATTCGCAGACTGAGTGTAATGGACCAGCACCGGAGCAAGAGCAGCATATGGCCAATGCCAAGAAAACTCTTTTCTGCTCCTTCCAGTTACTATCCTGGCTCCTAACAGTGCAGAGCTGTCCTGCCTGCTGTGTGCTTCTCCCATCGAGGGAATCAACGGGATGTAATCTTTGCATCTGGCTTCTTTTGCTTGACATCTGAGTGAGATCTGTCTTTACTGTCAGGTGCAGTTGTGAAGTGCTTACTTTACTGCTGTCTAATACTCCATTGTGGGCCAAGCCAAACGCATGTGTCAGTTCTGCTGTTGATGGTGAGTTACTGGACTGGGTTCCAGTGTAGGAGCATCCAAGTGCTTATTCCTGTGGACACTTCAGCACTAGCTATGAGCCAGAGGACCATGCGCGGATTCTGCAGGCTATCCGCCTGAGAGAGCTGCTGGGCCGGAGGAATGTGTGTGATCAGCTTCTCCCACATGGTCCTCTGCTGCAATTACACCTCCTTACCCTCCATCCGCCCTGTGTAGACACTCCTGTCTATTCTCTTCACGTTACTGTTCTGGTGGACGTGTCGGGGAGACTCAAGGAGTTTTGCTGTAGACCCCGAGTTATTTCCTTCAGGGAGAGCCACAGAAAGCCTGCCATGATTGTGAATGGGGAACAACAGCCCAATGGCTCTTCGTAGCCAACTGCAGCAACTGCTACCAAGTTAAAAAGAAAGAAGGGAATTCTTTAATTCATTCGATCACTATATATCATTGCTATTTGCAAAGTGAATTTACCCAACATGAACACAGTTCACAGCAGTCCAGCTGAAGATACCACACATGTTATCATCCACAGATAATCATCCATTTCGGTGTCCCACAAAGGTCTTGCCTATTTTTCTCCTTGATTCCTTTCTTCTCACTCTCCCCCTTCTCCCGCCCTCTTTCCACACTGTCTCCAGTTTCCGTAACCATTTTTCATGCTTCTGTATACACGAATGTTTCAGGTTTTACCGCAGAGTTTGGACAATTGGTATATATTAAGTGGAAACATACAATGCCTCTCTTTCATAGCCTGGCTTGCTTCACTCGATAGGAAATCTCTCGCTTCTATCAAATAGCAAGGTCTTGTTTTTTATAGCTGAGGAGTATTCCATGGAGTATATGTGCCATACTTTCTCAATCCATTCATCTGTTCGTGGACATTTGGGCTGGTTCCACGTCTTAGTCATTGTGAATAATGCCTCAGTAATCATAGTCGTGCAAGCACTTTTCTGACTGAGAATTCTCCTCTCCTTTGGAGATACCAAGGAGTGGGATTGCTGGATCATATGGTAGTTCTATTTGTAGATCTCTGAGCAACCTCCATATTGTTCTCCACAGTGGCTGGACCAGTTTACATTCCCACCAGCAGTGTAGGAGAGTTCCCCTTTCACCACAGCCTGGCTAGCACTTAGCAGTTTTTTTAAATCTTAGGGTGAGATGGTATTTCATCACGGTTTTGATTTGCATAAGAACGAAGTCTTTTTTTTTTTTTTTGAGAGATTTTCACTGTAGGGCGCCTGCGCTCGCCAGACAGACAGAGAGAGACATAGAGACAGAAAGCGAGAAATCACCCTCCAGGGGGGATGGTCACGCCGCAATCTCTTCTCCTCCATTCTCCTCTCGGGATCTTGGGCACGCACGCACACACGCCAGGCGTGAGTTTTAAGCCACCGGGTCCGGGACACGAACCGCAGTCGACTACGTGGGAGCCCAGCGACATAGCCATTACGCTACCTGCTGGTTCCCATGAACGAAGTCTTTTATCATTAATCAGGATCCATAACTTAGCCCACTAGCTCATAGTTGAGCCTGGCTTGCTCCGGCTTTCCTGTTATCTCTACCCGAACGCAGCTTTAGTGCTATCTCCAGAAAGCACCTGGATTCGAATAGCCTCCTGCAGGTGAGAGTGAGTTTCTTTTTCCCCATCTGATCAGTCCGTGAAATTCAGTAATTCTCCCCCAAGGCCAGGAGTTAGCAAAGGGGAGTTGGGACTAGAACCCAGAACTTCCAGTCCCAGCCTCCTGCTCCCCACCTTCCCTTCCCTGGCGGGCAGTACAACTGTCGTCTCATTCTGTGAAAGTGCCGGTGGAAGTGCCGGAGTCCTACGATCACAGAGCTGCAGCTTCCCAGGGCTGCCTGATGATGTAGCTGATGTGCAAACCACCGGCTTCGGCCTCCGGGGGCAGCTGCCCTCTGAGGAGGGAGCCTCAGCAGGAGGAAACTGTCAGCCATGTGAGATGAGTCCCTGGCCCTCTTGGGAGGAAGGGCTGCTGCGTTTTCATGGTGAATCGCTAATAAGCAAATGCGGTGAGGAGAGAGGAGCAGAAGCTGTAGTAGCAAGTCCCCGGCCAGGCGGATGCGGAGCTAGAACTCGGCTTCCCCGCTCAGATGCCCAAGAGGATTTCACCTAGTTTTGTAGAGGTGCGAGCGACTGATAGAAAATTTCAATGGAGCATTGAAGATAGTTCAATGACCCAGAACGTCTCCTCACTAGAAAGCAGTCTCTGGGGTTCGGCGGGGCTGCTACACAAGCGCTGTGAAGCACTCCGCAGTCCAGAGTCCTCGTGGCAGGGGGCAGATTCGTGCCTGACCCCTTCCAACCGTGCGCACTTCGTCTGCAGGATCGAACTCAACTAAAGAGGCCGCTCGTGGAGCACAGGTGCAAATGCCTGCTGCAGGACTGGCGGCCCAGCTGCTCAGCCACCCACTGGCAAGCCCCCAGAGAGGACTTCACATCACAGGGCTAATGAAGTCCACACTCCCGTCTGGCCTCCAAGGCTCCTCCCTAGTGCCCCTACCTCTCTCTCTGACTGCGGTGCAGACTCTGCCCTTCTGTCTGCTCCTTGAACAGACCGTGTTTTTATGGCCTCAGGGACTTTTTTTTTTTTTTTTTTGAGAGGCTTTTGCTATGGGGCGCGTGCGTTCATCAGACAGAGAGAGAGAGAGAGAGACAGAGAGACAGAAAGTGAGAAATCAT